ATCTGCCTCTCTTTCATGTCCAAAGGCCAAATTGAATATCTAGTTGCATATTACTTAATTGCAATACGTTTGCTGTATTCTAAACTCCCATAAAGCTTGTTTCAGAGTGAGATCTCATTCGAGAGCTGCTCGTAGCAGTTGGATGGTAACACCCTCCTGATGCGCTTGTTGTGCATCTTGAGCTACCAATTTAGCAGATATTTCTCTGTTAATTCTTTCTTAGATTTCTCAGACATTTGCTTCCACCACAGTAAACTGATGTAATGTGACAGCTATGTCATTGTCATGTATATCTTGTCCTTTCAGCAATTTTTGCTGAACTTTTATTAGCCATTGCATGTTGGCTGGCGAGTTGGCCAACAGAGCTTCGATGGCAATGTTGGCAGTACTAATTCTGGTTGAAATATCCTACCGTATTTTACCTATAACTATTTTAACCCTAGTAGCAAGTCTTGCGAGGTCTGCTGAATGGGTGTTTGGACCTAGTGTAGAGGGTTCAAAAATGGAAAGGGAGGCCCTTGAGGATGGTGGAGTAATGAAGGTTTTATTTAATTGTTCTCAGAAGGGTTTTGGGAGAGGCTAAGAGAGAGAGGATAAAAGACTGAGAGTTATTGAGTGGTAATCTCCAGAGGCGTCCATTGGCCCCCTGAGGTGATCTGCTTAGGAGATTGTAGCATCTCCTTTACTTGTTTGTGAGCTTCTTTTTCCCGTACGCGAGCTAGAAAGACCACATTTTTGGAAGTTTCGGTTTGAGTAGAATATACAGTGAGATACTTGGTGCCCTGGCCATGTCATTCTGTAGAAAGAGGTTGGTAGATAGGTAGAGAGCCTTGGTCACAAGGTGATCTAACAATATACTGTTAGGTGGAGACAATCTGATAGACTTCAAAATTGTCTGGGCCAACTAAGATTCATTTCTGTAGATGCAGATTGTTTAGGAAGGCTCAAATCCACATGTTCCGTTTATGACTACTAAGAGCGAAGTAAATTTGATAAAGTAAGATTGAATCATAAAAACACTATTATCTTATTAAGGTCTCTTCTGCATTGCTTGATTATGTCTAAAGCTGGGGAGGCACTGTGATATGATATTCCACATATGAGTATTCACGAACTGTATCTATTTATTATACAACTATATACCTCTCTGATTATAACACACAACATCGGGTATTGTTAAAAGATGTGAACAACTAGAGACCCTGAAAATCACCAAACCCTCTTTTGGCACTCACGATATAACTAACTGAGAACCGTATTATTTCCAATAGTAGTTATCCAATTATTACAGTTTTCAGACTTGTGGCCTCGTTCTCAAGTCGAACTGAGTTGGCCCCAATTGTCTTTGTCTTTGATGAAAGGATCAGTTTTATCTGCAAGTTGTATCAGTGAAGATGGTCACAATTGCAGCCTTTTTACGTCACCTGACTTCAAATATTCCTAACTCCTTACCAGACTGACAGGTATCGTCTGGAGTACTTCCTACTAATTCGCAGAAATCTATTCCACCAGATCAATAAATGTTCCCTCAGTTGGTAATGCTTGGTTGCTCTGGGTAGTGGGTTTCAGTCGCTGTTGTAGTATTGGGAGTTATCGCCGCTGTTGCAGCTTAGTTCAAAACCTAGTTGTAACACTCCATAAAGTCCCTTACCTTTTATGGTAGTGTTCCTCAGAGTTCTAGACTCTTCTGATTATTGTAGGATGGATGCTAATGTATTGGACTCTTGTTGAGATCCTTTACCATTGGATACTGTCTCTTGGTATAATATCGTCCTGTTACTTATGGCCTATGCCACAGATATTACATATTTGAAGCCTAGTAACACTCTGAGTAGTTCACGGATTTACTCCATTCCACTTCGCAGATCTAGCTCAATGTCTGCCCCTGTGTTCCCTCTAAACAAGATCCAGCTGGATAGATGGTAGCCACTTATGTAGTATTATTCTGACACCTTTTATTCTGTGGTATTTTAGTCACAGGACTCATCTGAAATTGATCTGTATAATGACATGTGGGCCCTATTAGGGGGCCAGAAGACGGTGTTGGAGACCAGAGATTTCAATGGTGGGTGTGGTTATCCTACATAGGGTGATTCCTAGGTATTGGATCCCATTATTCCTAACAGTTACACCCTTGAGTATTGCTACAAGTCTAAAAAATGTCAATTAGTTGAGAAGCTCCTGTAACACCATATATACTAAGGTTGTCCAGTTAACCAACTGCCATCTCTGGGATACATGAGGGAGTGCAGGTGAATTCAGAGAATGGTCTCCATGTCGTTCTTTACAAAACAGATTGGAGCTGATGAAGTAATACAACTTTGAAGTTAGAAATAGTATATGATGTTACCAGAGACCTATCTGGAAAGTAACCGAAGTCTATTACCCTCTAAGTGTGGAGGTATTAGGAAATTGTTAAGGACTCTAAGACACTAGTTTGAGGTTACGATAAGACCTACTGCCAAGAGGATTTACTTTGTGTAGCGCCTATTAGTAGTCAACATTCATAAGAGTACCTCTGGAGAGTTAAGTGGCCATCATCTGGAATGATATGTGCTAAAGTAGAACTGGATAGATGTTCCTGGTCTGCGGATATTTGTGAAAGAATCAGTGTATATAGATAAA